ATTCCATCTCATTTTTGACAACTTCCAATTTTCTTAGATTCATACTTTGTGCATTCCATGTTCTGATTATTAATGCTCCTCATTTTGAGATGTGCCCCTTCAACAAATGAAGGTGCCACTCACATCATCATAGTCAACTCTACTTTGAGGAGGCATCTTTTCCCCAATTGTATTTTGAGTGCCTTCCAACCTGAATGGCTCATCTTTCGGCACTATACCTGACAATATTCTAGCACTATTCATCATGTTTCAGTATTCAATATTCTGGTGCTGTCTGGCATTGCTCCACTATTATTCATAAGGTTTTTAGTGGTTAGACATTCAGAAGTAGGCCACCTCTCCTTCTTCCTAGTCGGTCTTAATCTGGAATCTCCCCTGAAACCTGTCCACAATGGGTGACCCTGCTGGTATTTAAAATACCAGTGGCATAGCTCCCAGTAATCCAGCAACACACAAACCACCATAGTACAACATAGTGATACAAATGGTGGGCAAGACTGGAAATAGGGAATAAGAAATACCAGTCTGAAACAAACAAACAAAAACCCCCAAATGTAAAAAGGGGGAATGATGTAGTTAGTTACAGAATAACAACAACAAAAACAAACCACAAGCATTTTTTGTTAGTATACCTTTCTTCACATTCTCCTCATTCAGTTCTCATTTCCACCAGTCCCCTCACAAAATGTATGGGCATGCAATCTAATTCAAATGCCCCCATCTACATGTCCCCAGAGCACTCTGAAAATTCCAGACCTTATTATACTAACTCTTAATTGCTCATTTTGAAATATGGATTTCTGGAAGGAAATTGTTAGGACCCAGCAGAGCTACTCAGGGAGTTTGTTAAATGAACAAATGAAGGAAATAAAGTTTAATCCTCCCATGGGTTAAAAGGAAAGGAAAGGAAGTTAAAAACTAGAAATCCAATATTTTAATATGTTCTCTACACTTAACCAGTTTCTACTGACTCAAATCTAACTCATGATGACCCATGTGTGACAGTGTAGAACTGTGCTCCATAAGATTTTCAATGGATGATCTCTCAAAAGCAGATCACCAAGGCTTTCTTCCAATGAGACTTTCTGTAACATTTTTTTACTACCCAATGATTCCTCTCTATCCATGACAGGCCAACCAATAACACTTGACATCTGAGTGAAAATTAGTAAGCAATGAAAGAATGATAATGTGCTAGTGAAGTCACCAATCAAGGCAAATCAAGAATATATCTTTTTAAAAAATATGCTGAAATATTTAATGGCTCAAAAAATTTACTTACAATTCTACGTTTTTGATATTTAACCAAACCAAAAACCAACTGCCATCAAGTTGATTCTGACACATTGTTAGGTGTCCGTAGAGTTGGTTCCAACCCGAAATGACCCTGTATAGGGTTTCTGAGGCTGTAAATCGTTTCAGGAGCAGAAAGTGTCATTTTTCTCACACGGGGTAGCTGGTGGGTTTGAACTGCCAACCTTGAAGTTAGTAACCCAACACTTAATCCACATTCCACCACTAGAACTTTAACATTTGCTGTAACATGATATCAAACAGTGTTAAATGTGGCTTTTATGTACAGTCTTGTAAAATGTTCTCAACTCACAGAGGGTTTCAGAGGATGTAAATATTTGCGGAAGCAGAAACCCTCATTTTGTGGTTCAAGGTCCAGTGCTTATCATACAGAGTCACCGAAACAACAGTTACACAAATATCACAAATCTTCTGCATATACAATCTATTGTATTTTAAATATCATTATTCTGTTATTTTCTCATTTGCCTTTCTACTGAATGAACAAACAATGTCAAATTGTATTTAGTCACTAGAATTTGCCTAGGGAAGTAAGCTTCTCTCTCAGTAGAGTTTAGGGGCCTCAGGTAGAATCTTGAGCCCCACCCAGAACCTTCTGAGATGGGACATTTCCACTGGAAAAGACATGCAGACCAACCTGGAATGGCTAAAGGAACAGAAGATACTTTTTGAAAAAAAGACCAGCAGAAAATAATAACAATAATAAAATAAAATAAGATAAATAAATAACACAAACTGTTTAGCTGTTATAATATCAAGCAAGCTGTTTGCCTTGGCCATCAAGACAAGAAAAGTCAGACTATCATGGCAAAACCCCTTCAAAGACTGAAACTCAAAGGTAAAACACAAGTAGTCTTATATGCTCACTAGTGACCACCCTGGTCTACTTTTGAGTGGAAGTAAAGGGCATGCAGCAATGAAGACTTGGGCTGAGTTTAGCCATGCCCTATAAACACCTGTTGACCTCGAGATGAGAGGGAGAAGAAGGGCTGGCTGGTCTCAAGTTCAGAGAAATGTGTGAACTTTTGAGCCTACGGACAACTGACATAGCCACTGTGGGCTAGAGTTGAGAACGAAGCAGCCAGCTGATCTGAAGTGGGAGGAGGCAGGCAAGAACTCCTAAACCTGTAGATAGTACCCATGGGATCTAATTTGGATAGCTTGCTGACTAGAACTCAACCAGATAAAGAAGTTTGACATGGGGAGCAACTGTAAATTGCTACAATTTGATGAAATGGACCTTTGCTTATGGATATTGTTGCTCAAAATACCAACTAAAAGGGAAAGATTATTCATATCACAGATCAAACTTCCTCTTCAGCACACTGGATTGATAGAGGAGGCGAACTTAGATATTGGCTATCAAAAATAAGGGGCTATAAAGGTCCAAAGGAGCTGGCTTACAAGCTTTCAGGAGTGTGCTTAGTTTCAGAATGAGGAGGGTAAAGTAGAATCCCCACTGAATAGTATTCCTCTTGTCCAGATGGGTCTGGTGAAAAGCGATGGGAGAGGAAGTGGATGGGAGTTTATGATTCAATTGTAACTGCTAGCAGGACTAACTGCAATAGTCACAACTGTAAATGTAGAAGATATATAACTAAAAGGGGAAGTAGTTAACCTTTCATTTCAGGAACAGAGGACCCTAGAACCATCAAGAGGGAAGAGCATGGGCACCTAACCAGAGAAGCAGTGACAGCAGATACAGTGGCAGTGGCAATGTCACAGAGACATAGAGCAGCTGACGACTATAGGCCCATTGAATAAGGAAGGCTGTGTATATGCTGGCAGGAGGTTGGCTTGTGAAGTTTGCCCTCTGGGCTTTTAAATGAATAAATATGTTCTGTGTGGTATGTGTACATAAAAGAAAAAAAGGGGGGAATACAGGTAAATATTGTTAACTGATGGTACATGGAGATTGCAATCATTGCAATGAAACAAAATATGATTTGTTGAATGTAAAACTGACGATCTGCCCTGTAAACTTTCAATTCACAATAAAAGTGTAAAAAACAAAAACAAAAACACATTTTTTATGGAAGCAAAGTGCCTCAGAAGCAAAACAGAAAAAAGAAAAGAAAAAAAAAAAAAAAATGTATTGAGGCCAAGTGAAAACACCATCCACAAGAAAAACTCCATAACTTCCCAATTTTCAGCCAAGCAGTAGACAAGCATATGGAAGAACAACAGCATTAGTGAAGTACGCTCACAATGGACTGGTCAATCATTCAAAATCAAAAGGGCAACAGTTACCTAAGGACAAGTTGAGACGAGATGGGAAGGAGGGTGGAATGGAAACAGAAACCACAGGAAGGAAGAGGAACAACTGTTTTTCATAGAAGGGTTTGCAATCATTGAGATGAAACAAGTGTATGATTTGTTGAATGTAAATCTGATTATCTTCTCTGTAATCCTTCACTCAATTAACAATAAAAAGTTAAAAAGCAAAACTTCATAGCCTAACATTAATTGTCAAATGTAGTCTAAAAACATTTTAAACACCAGTTTAATGCAATATAAAATTTATTAGGATGTTTAGAACAACATATACAACAGACACAACAACTTAGTGTGTTTGTAAATGCTAATGAGATGGGAGTGTTACCTGGTTTCCCCCAAGTCCATGACACGTGTACATAATTAATGGTTTGCCTCCTTGATTGTTTTCGCCAACATCCAGACACAGGTGCTGACCAAAGCTTTTAATCTAAAGGAAAAAATTTCAAGTTTCATGTTGTTTTCTTTTTTTTTAATTTACACACTTTATGTTTTTTTCAATTAATTTCAGTACTTAGTACTACTACTAATAAATGTGAAACTCTCAAAAACAATATATCAGAAAGTATTTTCAGCACCTGTTCCTGGCCATATAAATGTTAGTGACAAGGAATGCATCAAGTAGTAAGGAACAGGAAAATAAATACTCACATATCCAGATATAACAGGATTAAGGTCTGGCACATATACTTCAGGATAAACAGTGTTCAGATACCATGTGAAATTTTTACATTGCAGGCGGTGCTTTATTTCTAACCTTTTTGAAAGATCACCAAATGATTTCTGGAAAAGACAAGAAATGATGGCAATTAATCAAACTGCATTGTTAAGAGTACTTTAAAAGCTATTATTTATATTCATATTTAAGTCTTTTTAAAAAATCTGGGCTTCAATGTAAGACACAATTTAACTACATTCATCATTCATTTAGATATGCTGACATGGTGCTATTCTTGATTCTTGCCACAAAGGTTCCCATGTAGTGAAATGCTGTGGCAAAGGAACTGAAGCAGGAACCCCCAAAATTTATGCAGTAATCTGTAAAGTGAGGTATGAGAAAGTAGATATAGTATACAGTGCCAAACACTAAACGAAAAATAGCACAGTTGGGAATAATTATTTTAGTTCAAGTGTAGTGTTGCCAACTCATAACAATATAGCCAGAAAAGCAAGATTGTTTTAATGAAAGTCATTTTATTTTTCCTTATTTTAAGGGAGTATATGCCTAAAATAAAGACCAAGTAATATGACTATTATTCAAATTTATACACCAATCACTAAAGCCAGTGATGATGAAATTAAAGAATTCTACCAACTTCTTCAGTCTAAAATTGATAAAACATACAATCAAGATGCAATGATAATTACTAGTGAATGGAGTGTTAAAGTTGGAAACAAAGGAGGAGGAGTTGGAAAATATGAGCTTGGTGATAGAAATGACACTGGAGATCACATGAGAGAATTTCCCAAGACCAACAATTGCAACTATACAAGTAAACAGCAGCTAACCATCCTCTACTATCCACATTTTCGATTCCTAGTGTGGTGTTGCAGGATCAACAAAACCACAAGGTTAGAAGTTCAAACCCATCAATATCTCCTTGGAAACCCTATACAGCATTGCTATGCATAGGACCCAACTCAAAAGCACTTAACAATATACACATGGACCTCATCAAATGGTATACACAAGAATTAAATCAACTACACATGTGGAAATAGAAGAAATTCAATATCATCAGCCAAAATAAGATCAGTGGCTGACTGTGGAACGAACTATCAATTGTTCATATGTGAATTCAGGCTAAAGCTGAAGAAAATTAAAACAAGTCCACAAAAACCAAAATACAAGATTCGACTTCCAGTTTGGGCGGCAGCAGACAGCCAGGTAGGAAAGGCTCCATGGGGGGAGGGATTGAAAACCCACAGAAGCTGTGCTCATAGAATACCAGAGTTCTGTGTCTACCATAAGGCCCAGGAGGTCAGTATCCTGCACTTGCAAGTGAAAAAATCATGATATAAAGGAAAATAACTGCGAGTTAGGCCACCCTGCCAGGGCAGAGTTCAGAGGGCAGGGCTACAGCCAGACCAGCACACGGAACCAGCAGCAGTGCAGAGACATTTTTTCCAACAATTGCCTGTCACGCCTTCTTTGCCTAGTCCGGATGCCTTCAGGCGGGTGGGTGTACACACACACACACACACACACACAGCCCCCCAAAATTTGTCCAGCACTGACCCCACAGTTTTCCCACAGTACAAAGAGAAGGAGCTTGGTGGCTACTTATGATATCAGCCTCAGGGTCATAGCCCTAAAATTGACTTGTGCGGGACCCTTGGTGGCTGTATGCCATGGAGTCGGTTCAGACTCGTGGTGACCCTGTGCGGAGTTTCTGAGGCTGTGGGTCTTTGCGGGAGCAGAGCACCTTGTCTTCCTCCCACAGAACAGCTGGTGGTTTTGAACTGCTGGCCTTGCAGTTCGCAGCCAGATTTGTGACCACTGCGCTACTGTAGCTCCTTGTGCAGGACCCTTACCCAGGCCTATATAGCAAGAAAAAAGCTGGCACATCAGGCCTGACATACAAACCACAGAAAAATCTGTAAATCCCCAACATAAAAAGACAATTACGGGCATAACAAACAAGACGGCGGATCGGGTGGAAGTGCAGTAATGGAGCTC